CTCTGGTGAATCCAGACTCTGGCTCACCCAAGTTCCTGCCTACTCCAGGCAGCCACAGGCAGCACCCACAGCCACAGGCAGCTTCTGTACCAGGGCACCCAGTGGGCTCCCACAAACCCAGGACCCAAGGTCACTCCAGCACTTGCTGACTCCAGCAACCCCAGGTAGATTCCATGGCACCAGGCTCCCCAGGGGCTGCTGGGAACTCAGGCCCCTGGCTCACCACACCACCTGCCACTTCCAGCAGCCATAGACAGCTCTCATGGAACCATGCTCCAGGCAGGATCCCACAAAACCAGGCCCTCAGCTCACCCAGGTGCTTGCTGACTCAGGTGGCCACAGACATCTCCCATTGCACCAGGCATCGGCAGGTTCCCATGAACCCAGGCTTCCATCTTGACCCAGTGCCTGCTGGATCCTGCAGCCTCAGGCAGCTCTTGTGACCCCAGGCTCCCAGCAGGCTCCCAGGAATCCAGACTTCTGGCCTACCCCAGCACAAGCTGTCTCTCATGGCACCAGGCTCCTGGCAGGCTCCCGTGAACCAAGGCTCTCAGCTCATCCCAGCACTGGCCAACTCCCATGGCCCTGGATGACTCCTGTGGCTGCAGGCTATCAATGAGGACCTGCCAAACCAGGCTCCAGTGGGGCTACTCATGACCTCAGGGTCCCAGCTGTGCCCAGGGCCAGACACAATACTGTGGACCCAAGCTTTCCACTCACCCCTGTACCAGGCTTCCCAAGGACTCCAGCAGCAAGCCTGCCCCTGGACACCACCAGATGGCCTAGCCAGGACCCCTAGATGGGCTACTGTGAAGGCTTTGGTTTGCTAAAGCCAGTCTGTAAAGAGTGGAAGAGGTGCCTACTTCCTCAAATTTGCAGACACCAATGGAAGTCCACAAGGACCATGAATAATCAAAGACCCATGACACCACCTAAGAAAAAGAATAAAACTCCAATGACTGATGGAGTTATAGGAGACAATGGAGATATAGGAACTATGTGACAAAGATTTCAGAACAATCCTCTTTGAGAAATTCATAAAACTCTAAGGAAACACAGATAGACTACTAAATGAAATAAGGAAAGAGTGCATGAACAAGTAAGAAGTTCATCATAGAAACAGAAATCATTAAGGAAAAACAAACAGAAATCCTAGAGTTAAAGAACACAATGACTGAACTGAAAAATTCAATAGCAAGCTTCGAAATCAGATTCAACCATGTACAAGAAATAATTAGTGAACTAGAAGATGTGTCATTTGAAATCATCCAAAGGAGCAAAAAGAAAAAAAGGAATGGATTGGAACAGGGAAAGGCAGTGTGAATTATGGGATACCATGAAAAGAAATAGATAAGCATTTAAAGTACCAGAGGAGAAAACAGGGAGAAAGTTGACTTAAAAAAAGTTGCAGCTGACACCTTCCCAAATCTGGGGAGAGATTTAGACATCCAAGGTCCTGAAGCCGATCTATCAACCTAAAACTTCAAACTAAAACTTTCTTCTCCAGGACACATTATAGCAAAGCTACCTAAGCTCAAAAAAAGGATCAAACAACATGATCAAGTTCAACATGATGCAAATCAATGAATGTGAGAAACTGCATAGATAGAATGAAAGATAAAAATCATATATGATCTCAATCGATGCAGAAAAAGCAGTTTGACAAAATTCAACACGCCTTCATGATAAAAACCCTCAATAAAGGGTTACAAAATGAACATACCTGAATATAATAAAAGGTTTACACGACAAAACCCACAGCTAACATCATATTGAACAGTGAAAGGTTGAAAGCTTTCTTGGCAAGACAAAGAACAAGACAA